TGCTGGCACATATCCAGAAATCGGGATATGTGTGTATGTGGATTCTCACTAGCCATCCCATGGTATTGATGCCCATTCTAAAATAGTTGAATTACATTTGTTTTAAGCTGAAAGTTCAGTTGCCCAAATGGAGGATACACAATGCTAAATTGACTCTGGACCACCAATGGTGCCATGAAGTCCCCATGTACCATATTCCCTTCATCTTCAACCCTTGCGCCTTCATTGAGTTGAATTACTGGACAATTTTGCTTGTTAGCCATCTGTTGTGCTGCTCTTGCTTCTCTTTGCCTGTGACGAAATGTGCGTTCGATCTCTGGATCAACGGGAACCAAATCTCGATAAGGTGATCTTTGCATACAAGCCCTGAGATAGCAAAATAGCACAAGATTAAATTAAAGTAAACAATAAACTAAGTCTAGTAAGCTAACTACTACTAATCTAGGTAAGTTCGAATTAGTGTCACAATAGATAAAATTAAACTAAATTTCAATCCCTGGCAACGGCGCCAAAAACTTATTCACCAAATTTATTTGTTTTGATTTAAAACACACCGCATGTGTATAGTTCGTTCACAAGTAGTAAAATGGATTATGAGTCCAAGTATCGATCCCACAAGGATTGAATTAATTCAAATCAACCTATTATGACCTTAACCAAAACACGAAAGTAAGATGGATGTATTGTGATTTAACTAAGAAAGATATGAACTATGATGCAATTATGAGTGAGTAACTTATACTAAATGCAAAATGACCTGGATGCAATCTACGAGAATTGATGGAATTAATGAATTACTAGGATCACGATTCCCAAACAACACCCGTTCAATTTTCAATTATGCAAGTTTGACATACAGTCCCACAAATGATGAATCAATATTCCTATTTTAATTTAACAATCTCTCTCGAGCAATGCCAAACCTACCCCAATATGTGATTCGATTATATCTCTATGACAAATACTAACATACAGGAATGCATTATGATTTCATGAATATTCAACAATTCACACAAGGCATAGAGGTATATTTCTATCCCCTATCGGACACTATGATAATTTATACTATGTTGAGCTTATTTTCCTTCTTTCGAATGCATAAAATAGGCCACCAAAATCATATAATTACGTACACAATAATAATATGGAAATAAAAACATATAAATCATTCAATTCCGAAACATGTGTTTAAATATGTCAAATCTCCAAATCAAGAATCAAAAGTAGTATTGCAAGGTTCATCGATTTCCTAACAATGAAAAATCTAACCTAACATGTTAAAAAGAAGAAAATACAAAAATAGTTGAAGAAATATCATCACCCGAATCAAGTTTCAATCAAATCTTCAATTGGCGCGATGTTTTCCTCTTGTTCTCTCTTCGTTTTCTCTTTCAAAATCTCCATTTTTCTTGTAAAATCAGCGTCATCGTCATTCTAGTCGATTTTTCGTTTATATAGGATCCTAAAAATCTTGTTTCCATAAGAGTTTCGACGAAATAAGGAAACTACGGATTTAGCCTCGAATTGCTCTATGCGACCGCATAGAGTAAAAATTTTCTGAGAATTGATTCTCGGTCTGCCTCTATGCGACCGCATAGAGGGTAGCACTCTGCGGTACCAACTATGGAAAAAGTCCATTTTGGTCCTTATACTTAAATCTTTCACTTCTTGGCATCTTTTCTTCATTCTTTCAATTCCATCATCCCAAGATATCATCAATTGGCATTTGGTTTAATCAGTTTCTTAATTTGTTCATCGGGTCAACTTTTGGATAATTGCACCTTGGTCCCTGAACTTTCACTTTGCATCATTTTAGTCCTTTTCACGTCTTTTCTCCTGAATTACATCATGTTCATCAGTGTTCCCCCTACAATTCACAAATGTAACGAGATTAAGTCACAATTCAACTATTTTGCTCATAATTAAGTCATCTTTGTGACCTAAATAAGTGTGCAAAAACACACTTGTCAGAATACAAGGGTCATAAGCAGGATCGATGTAGTATGTTTGCGTGCTCATCATCTAGCAAATCTAATACTGAAGAAAAGCTAGCAAAGTCACAATTTGACGTAACTTTACTGGGGATCTGTCTGACAGTGTCGTCCAAATAATATTTCATCCTGCAAAATTTCAAGTATTAGAACCATGCGCAAAAGATAATGGATAAAAAATAATATTAGAAAATGAAACTAATAAACTGTTACTATACACAATAATCAATAAATAATGGAATAAAGGAATTGACTGTAAAGAAATATTAATTGTTTTATTAATATTTAAATAATTATTTTAATTGTCTGTGTATATTATATATTTAATATTTAATTATTTATCTTAATTATTAATTTTAATTGCTTAGTTTAGTTTAGTTATTTTCTAATACTTAAGTTAATTTTTTATTTTAACATTTAAATAATTATGTTAATTGTTTATGTATATTATTTGTTTAGTATTTAATTCATTATATAATCGCACATTCGATTTAATTGTTTATTTAACATTTAAATAATTATTTTAATTGTTTATGTATTTTATATATTTAATTTCCTATTTTAATTACTAATTTTAATTGCTCAATTTGATTATTTTTGTAATACTTAATTTTATTGTTTATTTTAACATTTACATAATTATTTTAATTGTTTATGTATATTGTATATTTAATATTTAATTATTTATCTTAATTACAAATTTTAATTGCTTAATTTATTTATTTTATTAATACTTAATTTAATTTTTATTTAAACATTTCATTAGTTATTTTAAAGTTTTATGTATATTAGTTATTTAATATTTAATTATTTATCTTAATTACTAATTTTAATTGCTTAATTTCATTATTTTATTAGTACTCAATTTCATTATTTATGTTAATATTTTAATTACAAATTTTAATTTCTTAATTTAATTATTTTTGTAATACTTTATTAATTAATTGTTTATTTAAACATTTCATCAATTTTTTAATTGCTTATTTATATTATTTTTTAATATTTTATTTATTTATTTGAATTGCTAGGTTAATACTTAATTTAATCGTTTATTTTAATATTTTAATTGCTAATTTTTAATTGTGTAAGTATATTATTTGCTTAGTTTTTTTAATTCATTGTATTAATTAATTTATTTTAGTTATTTAATTGTTCATATAATATTGAATTGTTTTTAAAATTGCCTAAAATTAAATAAGTAATTAAATTAAAACAATTAAACATAAGTAATTAAAAACTAATTATAAAAAATAATAAATAAATCCAGACAACCAGCCCAGAGGTCTAGGCCATTTTGGCCGCCTGTGTAATCGCAGGCGGTTGAAATAAATGGCGGAGATCGTCATTTCCGACTATTCATATTGCCCTCTGAAAAAAAAAAATCAAACTTTAAACAAAATTATTTTGATTCTACCATCTCTTTGTTTCCTACGTTACCCATAATATGTGGAAGTATCAACGTAATTTCATAGAGTCATTCGGTCTGAATGCTACATGAAGAACATAAGCCATTTCCATCACTTTTTGGCTTCAAAACATGTATATTTTGCTTAAAATACAATCTATAATCATTTTTGTAAAGATTTCTCAACAAATATACATAGAAAAATGATTTTCAGTCAAAAATGAAAGCTTAGCTTTTTCAAGGTTAGAGAAATGGCGTTCTGAATCGTCGATTTTTTAGGTTCTTGGTCGGTGCCTGGGTCGTCGGTTCTGTACTACAATACACCACACTTTTCTCTCTTCACAAGTGAGGGCAAAAGTACATTTTCATTGCTTATTTATTTTTTTAACATTTTTGCTTTTTTTTTTTTTTTTATTTGGTCAAAAGCTATTTTGGAAAATGACCACTAATTCCTCTTACAACACTGAAATAACTCGTGCCATACTCTCAGAATAAATTCAGACAACTTTTAAATAAAAGGATACTTCCAAATTATACATATAGGTTACTTTCATGAAACTGTTAAAATATTCGTCCAATAGTCTCACGACTTTTTATCGATGGTTGTAACACATTTTAATATAATATATTCTTATTATAAAAACACATATTTTATAGAGATAATTCGAAAGATATTTGCTAGGCCCAGATTCCGTATTGGCTACCAACATTACACTTTTTTTACAGTATCCAATGTAACGTTATCACCACCGCATTTGGAAAGTTTACCTTGTACAAATAGTTACTAGTTCGAAATTGAAATTCGCTACAGTTACTGTCACTATTAATTTCCACATTGGGCCTGTCCAATTCCCATGAATTTAACTTATGGTTTGCTATATCATCATTTTTAACCACATAATCGCACAATAAAATATTCTATATGTTTTTTGAAAACTTTTTTCTACTTTTAAACCACATATTTTCGTAAAAACACTTTTCAGAACTGATTTTTTTCCAATTAATAAGAATCCAACATGCTGTTAAACTGGAGGAAATCCCCCCAATGGTCACCGAACTTTGCCAATTTTTCCTAGGAGGTCACCGAACTTTACTTCGTCCCTAAATGGTCACCGAACTTTGCCAAAATCCCCTAGGAGGTCACCGAACTTCACTTCATCCCTAAATGGTCACCGAACTTTGGAAAAGTCCCCTGAAAAGTCACTGAACTTGTTATACATGAGGTCCCATTTTGTAAAAGTTGAGTGACCTCTTAAGGAACTTCGACAAAGTTCAATGACCATTTATGGACAAAGTGAAGTTCAGTAAACTTCTAGGGGATTTTGACAAAGTTCGGTGATCATTTAAGGACGAAGTGAAGTTCAATGACCTCCAAGGGGAAATTGGCAAAGTTCGGTGACCATTGGGGGGATTTCCTCAGTTAAACTAACATGAACATGTTTAGCAATTGTGTACTCTATACGACCCAAAGTATCATACACATCAAGCTTGTTACATAATGTTCCTACAAATTAATCATTTCTATAATAATATTTCAAACTCTAGCTTTATTCTCGCCTTATTTCAATGCAGGTACAACTATTCAAGCTTCACTAGTCATCATATTTTCAAAAATAAATAAATAAATAAAAATTCTTGAGTTTCTATTAACAAAAGTAGAGCAAGATAGATACACAAGAATAGAATAATTTACACGTAACACCTTAATACACGTAAAACTTATACGTAACACTACATCGCTACAACTCAACACAGTAGTCAATACCAGCTAGCACACTACTCAAATAACACACTTAGCACCACTGCTGCTGCTGCCACCATCAAATACAATTTACAGAACGCGATCAGAACGAGTTGCATGCACAAGCCAAGGCACTTGAATCTGTGTGAAAAGAACCTTTGGGGTCAAAGCTTCTTGCTTGAGCAACGACCATCAAGTGTACAGCCTGAGGCGACTGGTTATACGCTGTCGACATATGGGACAGTCGGACAATCTCGTGCTGCAGTCTCTGCAAGTCTGCAATCAGTAATAAATCAGTAACAGGTTTTTGCTTCCAATTTGAACCATCAAATACAAAATATTCTGTACTAGTGCATCTCACCATGTGTCCGCAGTTGAAGGCCATATCTTTCGCTTCGGTAAGGCAAACAGGGCAGACCTTCATTCAATTGAAGGACGCAAAAAAGAAAACGAATCAATTCTGGTTTATAAGCGTAGGAATTTAGGAAAAGGAAATTACTTAAGAATTTCATATTTTTTTTAAGCTTAGCCAAACATGTTATGGTTCTTTACCTGAGTTCGGTCATCTTGCACAGGAGTTGAAGCATTGCCGGGTTCTCGGGATGGAAGTGCTACCTGGCTAGTGTAAGGAACTGGTGGAGGCCTAGGAACGATTTTCTTTGCTTTACCTGTTACATGTCTTTTGTCCAACATGAAAGAAAGAGACTTATTGGAAAACAAGTAAATTTTAATAAACATCGTGCCTTGATAATGACAATTTTGTTCCTAACATCTAGAAATTGGAAATGACGGAAAGCTTATCAACTTGTTCAAAATATTTTCATGAAATGTCTGAAATTTGAAATATATACTCGTTAAAAATAAAAAACCTTAAGAAGGTAAAAGGTTCAAGGCTTCACTAAAAAGAAAAGGTAAATTTTTCGTAATTCAAAGTACTCGTACCCAAGTAGACGAAGTTCTTTCGCTGCTTGGTATTGGATAGGGATCTCCATAAGAGCACCAAGAGCGAAGGAAGCTTCCTTTTGAGATGGTGATGCTTGTTTGGACATAATAGCAGTGAAATTAACAAACTGCAACATAGAAAACACAGAGCCATTACTTTTTGAGATGTCTAAGATAAGTTAATTTTCACCAATGTTAAGTAAAAGCTGTACCTGAAAATTATCAAATTCACGAGCAGGGATCTTGTCATCAAAATTTCTCATATCTTCCCAGGGTCCATCACCAACGCCAACAAGAATAATTGAGAGAGGATACAAACTGATAAGAAATAAACAACAACATTGTACTTTGATGATTTCCAGGTTAATTGTTGCATCATGCTTTTACAAGTGCAATAGTCAATAAACGCTGAATAAATGACTCTCAATAATACTTATAGAAAAAGGAACGTAACACAAGTTTTGCTTAAATAACTCATTCAAGAAGCCGGAAAGATTACACTTCAGAACTTACATCTTTCTTGGTGTTAAATCATAAGTTGCACATGAAGAATTAGAATGAGACTGACCTCTTTTGACTACCAAATGAATCAGTACGATATAAGAATACTGACTCCATATTCTCAACAAGAATTGAGAAAAAAAGAAATTCTATATTAAGCCAACCCTATGGAAATGATAAAATTATAATTAAGAAAAAAGCATATAGAATCCTCAAATAAAGTTACTAGCTGCGAAAGTTGGCATCTGGAAAGTTTCTACAGCTGAGCTTCTGATAGCTACAATGACATCAATATTTTGCATCATAGCTAGTTCAAAAACAAATTTATTGCATGGACTTGATAAAGCACAATGAATCTCACATCAAAATCAACTAGATAGATTGTATTTTTGACTGTACCTTGCATTGACAATAGAGTCTATTGTTTTTGATTCTTGTGGGCTGAGTTCATTTTCACTCGTATCGACACTTCTTGTTACCTTAATGAGAAAAAGTAATTATGAAGAAGTGAGTGAGTGGACCGGACGTAGCCATATCTATTTGTCTAAGCGCGCGCGCGTGAGAGAGAGAGAGACTGAAACCTGGCCATCTGCTATGATTACCAAAACATGGTACTGTCCACCACTTCTCTCCACTATGTCTACTGCGGCATCTACAACTGGTCCATAAGATGTTGGCCCTTAAACAAACAAACACATAAATATTTGTCAATGTTCCCTGTGAATGAAAATTTTATATTATATATACGTAGAGGTAGTCCATGGTCTTAAGACAACATATTCATTAATGGAAGATTAATAAAGTAGGATAGAAGCCTACCAGATAGTCGCAAATTTGAAATTATTCTTTTGTAACAAGCTAAAACTTCTTCAAAACCATGACAAGAAGTATGATCGCTGTGAAAGCTAAATACTTCCCGATCATGTGTAGTTGCTACAGATAGAGCAAGAAAGGAGGGGTTAACTACAAAATCGAAAAAGGATGACACTAGGATAAATGATTGTTAAACCTAAGTTTATCAATACTAAACTAGCCACTGCAAAGGAAAAATATTACCAAGAATGGTAACAAATGAAATGAAACTAACCATCTCCAAATCCAAAACAAGGAATCAAATTGTCTTCATCAAAAGGGGCCAGAGTCTTTCCGATAATGGATATAGCTTTTTCATAAGGATTAGGTGTATCACCAACTGCATGCAAGCTTCGATTGTTGAATGAAACTTTGCCTTCAATAACAAATTGATGCATTAGCTTTAAGATATAAAGATTCAAGGTAATTATAATATGACAATTCAGTGGTGATAAATATGTGATTGTTTATCCAACAAAAGTAGTAAGAAATGAAAAATATGAGACCATCCTTCCTTAATAATTTCATCCCAATGAAAGTTGTTGATCTTTAACCGCACAAACTAGTCTGGGATGTCAGCCCTTGACACGCATAAAGATCCTACCAATATATGATGGTAACAACAGATCACTAATGTTAATATGCTACAAATATATTCTATTTGGGTTTCTATGGAATAAGCAAGATATTCTACAAAATCTATGTCAAGAACGTAAAAGACGATAATAAACGTAAGAGTAATGCATGATTGTTCAGCTACCAAGTAATGTAATAACAGAATATCAAAATAAAATTATCTTACTAAAGCTGTAAATACAGAAATAGAGAGCAATACATCACTATGGACCAACAAACTTTTTTCCATATTATCCCGGTTACTAGGTATTCCCTAGCAAGTTCGCTCCAGAAAATTAGAAATTGACGCAGCTTTTTATCAGACAAATCTTCACTTTCACTAACCTGTCCATTCATTACTTTTTGTGAAATCAATTCCCAGAATCAGATTTGATGACTCCAGACCAAATTCCCTCAAGGCAACTGTGACCTGCAACAGTCGATCAATGATACAAGGTCAAATTATTCATGTTGAGGTATGAACACCATTAATTTCCCAAGATAGCATAACTTGATAGATATGTGCAGAATTTTTCAAGTTAATTTTATTAGTCCACGGTGACAATCTCAAACAGACATCCAAATTTACAAGATATTCATCATTCATGCACACTGATTCACACACAGAGAGACAGAGAACACGTGTTGTTCATTATTAACTGTATACCTCCTTGAGTGGACATGTGCTTTCAATCTGTAACACAAGCTAAAATTAAAATGGAATTCCATAAAACACTAATAGACTAGTCATACTCTACAGTGTCAAGTGTTTAAAGGATACCAATTGCAGATATATTAAAATATACCTAAAGAATGTGTCCTTCATGAAAGCCATGTAACGCCATTAACAAAAAAAAGGAGAGAAGACCCAAATTAAACATGATTGGATGCAAAATGTTCGAATTTTTAGACAAGAGGGGTAGCTGGATCAGAGCGGGAGTTCGCCTAGCTAGTGTCTGAGAAGAAAATAGAGAAAAGTAGTTCGTATAAGCAATCCCAAAATTTTTTAAAAAGTCTTGTGGTGGTGGTGGTGGTGTCCTAGATGTATGGATCAGTGGGAACATACTCACACTCCATAATGGAGAAAAACCTTCATGTCAAAAGAGGGACCCCTTTTCTGCTTTATCCTTTTTATTAGTTGTAAACACCACTCATCGTGTCTCATGCTCATCTACCATGTAACCAGGCACAGTTCATCTTCATTTTTATTCCCTTCCCCAATTGATTCCAAAAAGAAAAAGGGAGCTACTATTGCAGTAAGCATCATGAAGCTTAAAACAACTAAACAAAAGCTTTAAAAGTTACTTATAATTTTCAAAATAAACAAAAAAGTTTCACTCAGAAGTTAAAAAAAATAAAAAAAATGTAACATGTCCAAGAAAATGTAAAAAAGTAACTTTTAATTCTTTTAAGCTTAGCCAAACATATTCTATGTTAGACACCTTAAAGTTTATTTCTCTCCACTCAGATTGGTAGGGTAATTGCTTTCACTTTAGCAAGTTGCAACCATTGATAAAGATGTATGGTGTGATCAATAAAACTTGAGTGCATCATTCATGTCTTTAGAGATTAAATAATACAGGCGGGGACAGAAAATTAAAGATGATTTGTACTACGTTCTGTGGATAAAGATTGATGAACTTGACTTGGAGTCTTGGAGCATTAAATCCAAAGGAAATGCACATGGAGAAAGAATTCACCACAAATGTCATTTTCAGACCATAAAATGCTATATTAAGCCCCTGTTTAACAAAGCTTCTTTGAGATTATAAGTTGATCAAAATTTATTTTTAACCATATGCACATTGGACCAACCAACTTACTAAACTGAGTCTCTCTCAGGTACCATGGCAACTCAATAACAAAATGTAAAGACGGTGAAAATTGAGTAAATTTAACCAATGCTCACTGAACTTTAAACTTGGTTACTACTTGCTCACTCATCTTTCACGAGTTACTGAATACTTATTCATCTTTCCATATAGTTACTTATCCACCACTCGTCTTTTCAAATAATTGGGAGACTTTTGCGACAACTTTCGACAACCTAGAATGTCGAATTTTGATACCTTGGAAAGCCCACGATCTCCTCTTCAATTACCACCTAAATCTCCCTATAACTCCAAGGAACTCGATCGGAAAATTGCCTTAAAAGTCGTCCAAAAATTCTGAAAATCTGTCCAGATTTTCATATTTTTTGGACGACTTTTAAGGTAATTTTTCGACAACTTCCGACCATCAAAACTGCTGAATTTTGATACCGTTGGAAAGCCCACAATGTCCTCTTTAATTACCACCCAAAATTTCTCCATAACTCTAAAGGATTCGATCAAAATAAACCCACAAAATCAGCATCCCGAAACTTTGTGGGTTTATTCCGATCAAATCCTTTGGAGTTATGGGGAAATTTTGAGTGGTAATTGAAGAGGACATTGTGGGCTTTTCAACGGTATCAAAATTCAACAGTTTTGATGGTCGAAAGTTGTCGAAAAATTACCTTAAAAATCACCCAAAAAATATGAAAATCTGGGCAGATTTTTAAAATTTTTGGACGACTTTTAAGGCAATTTTCCGATCGAACCCTTAGAGTTATTGGGAGATTTTGGATGGTAATTGAAAAAGATATCGTGAGCATTCCAACGGTATCAAAATTTGACATTCTTGGTGGTCGAAAGTTATCGAAAAATTGTCGCAAAAGTCGCCCAATTATTTGAAGAGTCGAAAAATTGTCGCAAAAGTCGCCTAATTATTTGGTGGTGGATGAGTAATTATATGGAAAGATAAGTGAGTACTCACTGATTCGTGAAAGATGAGTGAGCAAGTAGTAACCAAGATTAAAGTTCAGTGAGCACTAGTTAAATTTACTCGTGAAAATTAGTAAAAAATTGATCGATTTTATCAGTCTAAAATGTTAGAACGGCATCACATGTATTCACTCAAATTGTGTCATAAACACGATCTAATCTAAAACCTTAAGTTGTATTCGTTTAAATTGCTTCTTAATCACAGGTCCTTAAAGACTAACTAGCAGTAAAAATCGGGGAAAATTAGCAAAGAAGAAGAAGGAACCTGGTCAATTGACGTAAAATTATCAGGGATGTATCCATACTTTTTCTTCTTATCCATCCCGCTGCTAGAAGCCACGCCGCTTGTACCCTTATCAGTAATAGCTGTAGAAGGAAAGGGATTTGGATTCTTGTTCAAAAAATTGAAACCCGAGGGTGGAAATGACGGCGGCGAGACAGAATTATTTGTAATTGAACCTCTTCTTGCTGTATTAGTGCCCTTGATCTTGCGAAATCCAAATATATTGCCCATATCTCATCTGCTCCACATCCTCATCTATATAATATCGATTGAGAAATATATATACAACCAGCGGTTCAAAACAATGTGCAGGAACGATGAAATTGCGAGAGGAATCGTGTAAGTGGCAGCTTATTGATTAAAAATAAGGGGAAGTTGATTCTTGCTTGCAGAATTGCGTTTAGAATATGTTCTTTCTTGTGTTGAGCATGAAGGACAATTTAGGGATGAAGTGTACTTGACCATATCCACAGGAGTTAATTGTTTGTTCACCCTAGGTCCATGTTTTAATTGGGCATTAAAGTTTAAAGTATTTAGTTTTGATTATTAAATTTAGGTTCATATTTTCGATTGCTTATTAAAAATTTTTAATAATTGAATTTCATAAAATGTTGTACGTTATTCAATAGTATAAGTGTTAAATTTTGAAAAATGTCGAGTTTGTAATAAGTAATGAACAACATTTTTCAAAATTTAGTGACCAAAATTCGGTATTTTAAATTTCAATGACCAATCGAAGATATGGACCTAAGTTCAATAATCAAAACTCGACATTTTAAACTTCGATAACCAATCAAAAATATGGACCTAAATTCAGTGACCATTGGAACAATTAATTCTATCCAATGCTACACCTTAGGTTTGAGCTAAGTATTGCATCATTTTACACCAAATTATTTGGTGTAAATTTTTGGTATGATGGAATGGAAATAATTTTTAATAAGCCTCGTTTGGCCCCCATTCTTTTTAAATTTTAATGGTTGGAATAATATTTTTTTGAAAAATGTGTGGTTGAAAAAGAATGATAAATTTTTGATTTACGTGTAATATTATTTTTTGAAAAATTATGTGGTTAAAAATAAGAAAGAGAAAAAGAATGAGAAAGAGAATAAGGGCCAAATGGGGCATAATCATTTTCTTCATTTTTTCGATTCTTAACAATTTATTTATTTGAAAAAATATTTATTTATTTTATAACTACATAAATTACTAAATAAAAAAAAGTTAAATTAATAAAAATATTGAATTATTATTGATTGCTAAATTATTCATCTGTTTAATATATTACGTTAAGTTACGAAAATAATTAAATATATTATTAGTTTATTGTAAATAATTATGTAAAATTAATGAAAATAATTACTAAATATAAAAAATCCTTAATTATTAATTATATTATTATTATTTTATTAAAAAATATATTAAAAAAATGACACATAAACCCTAATCAACGCAAAATGGTGTTTTGAAATCTCCATTAGAGATGTCCTTAGAATAGTGATGACAATAGGGTGGGTTCGGGGCTGGGCGTCCCCACCCCGCCCCGTTTCCCCCAAGACGAGGAGGGGCACGGACGGGGCAACTTTTTGCCCCGTTTAATTAATTAATTTTACATTTTTAAAGTTTGGAATTATATTATTATTAAAGAATAAAATAAAAATTTAAAATTAGTTTTTAACGGATATGTTTAGAAATAAAATTATTTTCAATCTTTCTTTTTAGATTTTTTTCCTTCACGGGGCGGGGCAAGCACCCCGCGATGGGGCGCCCCACCATGCCCCTCCCTACCAACCCGTTCGGGATGGGCGAGTTTTATTATCATCCCTACCTTAAAATTTGAACTTTTGAGTTTTCAATAAATTCCAAGAAACAGGTGAAGATACTCGAGTAATGAATACTGCATAATGTTATTGAAGTTTATAGAGACAAAGAAGCCAGCAACAATTTTACTTCCACACGTAAAGAAAAATTCAAGATATAGCCCCTGTTTTGGCTTCATTTTATTCAAAATGCATCTTTCTCTCTTTTTTTTAATTATATTGTTCAATAAAATAATATTAAATGAAACCTCAAATTTTTCATTCTTTTTAACCACACATTCTTAAAAAAAAATAAAAAAAAAATTATTTCGAAATACATCTCTCCAAAAACACATTTTAATAGAGCCCAAATAGGAGTATAGTTTGGGAAAGTTGACAAGAATTTATAAACGGTTTATTTTATAAGTAGATAGAAATTTTCTATTAAAATAGAGTTGATCATTTATAAATTATCCAAATGGAGGCAAGTTTAGGAGAAGTTATAAGTTAGGTCAATCTAAGAGGGTGTTTGGTAGGAATTTTTATGTGAAAATGCATTTTTGAATAGTAAATTAATGGGAAATGTGTGGTTGAAAAATAAGAAAAAGTTTTTTATTTACGTGTAATATTATTTTAATAAAGAATGTGTGGTTGAAAAGAAGAAAGAGAAAAATGCATTTTGATAAAAATGGGTGCCAAACAGGGCCTAAATAATAATATGCATAAGACTTATTTATTACTTGTAACAAGGTCGGAGTTTCAAAGTTGTTGTCCCTTTGACAGTTCCACCAATATATTTATTACACTTTAGTACATCACTTTTTCATTTGAAATTGAGTTGGCATCTTCTCATTTGCTACGAAGAGATGACGTGTCGAGGTGTTAAAAATGTACTAATAAGGCAACAACTTCGAGATAGCAGATTTGGACTTGTAACTAAATTTTTTATGCTTACCTAAACATGCACTGATGGACAAACGGGCGAAAACCATGTGCTAGAGACCTAAGACACTACATAATTGGAGGTTGGGATGATGATGTGAAAAAGAAGAGGTAAGGGACCAATGTGCAACAACATTCATAGGTTGAGGACTAATAAAGAAAATTTCACATTCGTGATTTTTATGGATCATGTCATTTCATCAATTCGTACTAAATAACAAGTCAAGAAATTTCCTTCCTTTTTTCTTATGAGTCTCTTCACAAATTTTTAGTAATACTCATAATGATCAAAGTTTTTATTATGTATCGAAAACTCGCAACATTGGGATAACAAACCCCCTACGAAGTCTCTGTTTTTACATATATTGTACTACATTTAGGTGCAAGAAGACCTTGCAAAACCCAATCTCTTATTAATAAGATCAAATTCCCAAATATGATTTTGTTGCATAATGTTGCCAATAATAGAGGTTCCAGGCCAACTTGCAGACACAATCCCTAGACATTTCACTTCCTCAGCAGCATCAATGACATAGCCTTTAAAAGGTGCTTCAAATATTGCTCCATCTGCAAAATGAAACTCTAGTTTTGGCACCATAGACTCATTAAATCCTGTTGAATTAAAACAGTAGTCCATAGGTTCAATGTCCAGTTTTGATTTTGAGAAATTTGATAGGGAATGCTTCAGGGCAGCCATTACGGGTTGATATGAGGGTTGAGTCAAGAACGTTAGGCTTGACCCAGAGTCGAGGATTACTCCACCTTGGTCGTTCACGTTCCATACTTGAGGTGGGATTTGCAACATTGTACCTGTTGGAGATTAAACTCAATTAAGTAAATGCACCGATGATCAAACTGCTTGAGCTTTTAGATAAAATAATTTAACGTGATATCATAGCTGGTAAGGTTCTAAGTTGTAGGCTCATTTCCACCCATTCAGGAATAGTGTGAGGAGACTCGTAGAAGACTAAATTTAAATGAGGTTAAAAGCACTTTTAGTCACTCAAATTATAGCGAAGTTTCATCTTAATTATCAAGCTGTTTAAACTTTTAGACGAGATAGTACAATATCATTACCACCAATAGAAATGTCTTTGATGTTTACAGCGTAGAATGAATTGATCTTCCCCAGGAGAAGCTCTGTATATAGCATTTTGTCAGGTGGCGTTGCTGTAGCTTGTTTGTCGTTGCCAAAGACGAGATAACTCGATACATTTTTTGGGCTCAAGTGATCAACCAGACAGTAAGAGAATTTGCCCCCAAATTTCTCAGCTGCTTTAAGAGTAAAGGAGTAATTTCTGTAACCAAGTCCTAAGACACCATCAGCTGTCTCGAAAGTGCCATGGGATGACTCGGTGCATCCAACCAGAACATTGTTTAGTCTTGCCGTTCTTTCATTAGTAAGTCGAATTGTTACTGTTTCCTGAGCAAATAGTCCAAGGGCTTCTGATCCGTCAGAGTACCTAATATAACCGTAACAAGAACAAACAATTAGAGTTTCAATCTTGTTAATACTATCCAGTATTAGACACGAATGGACAATACAAGTACGAGAAATCGTAGGCGCAAGGGGACAATGGAGAAGGGCAGTGAGCAAGAGAGAAGAGATTTGCAAGTTCAATCTTGCACTTTCTTGAGGAACAAGGTATAGTCCTGAAAGAACTCGACCGGTCCGGATGAAAATCCCCTCGACCTGACGACGTCTGGTTACACGTGGCACCTTGACATTTATACCGACACTTCATCCAAGTCAGGTCACTTCCAGTGTCAGCAATCAGCATGAATCTCTGAGCCGGGGTTCCAACCTTAAACGACACGAAGTATTCTCCGATCCCATAATCAGCACCTGAATGCATCGGCAATTTCCCCGATGCATTCCGATCATTAGTCACTCTGGTATTCGCCCGAACTTGTCTTCTGATAACAGCACTGGCGTGCTTTAGTCCTCGCCTTTGTGAAATTGCCCGTTGTCTGGTGATATCCCGATGAAGCAGCAATTTAATGTGCTCCAGTCGAGTCATATGCTGCATCACATTGTTCTGATTTCTTTGCAGGGAATGCCTGTGAATTAATTCAAATTTGGTTCCAAATGAGCGTTCATGGCCCTGTGAAAATTTTGCTGAGGAAATGGCCACATAAAGCAAGAAAGGTAATAGAAAAAGATCTCCTTTCCGGGTACGAGTTACCATAATTATTTGTACATGTAACTGCATGAATTCTTGACCAGAACATGAGCAAGATTTAATAACAAGAGAAGAATATATATAGTGTAAGATGTGGAAGTGTGAGTAATGGCCACGAGGTCGAAGAAACACGTGCACAGTTTTCATTAATAAATAGGTAGCGGCGAGAGTTGGGATATATCACACGTTCCTTCTCAGAAACACATGCAAAGTTTTCATCAATGGCCCACTCTGGGTGTATTTTGACACATATGAAGGAATCGAGGTCGGAGTTCTTGAATATTTAGTACTTTGATATAATGTTAAACTATCTTATTTAAGATTTAAAACTTTTTTAAATCTGATCTTCTGATATCTAAGAAAACGCCAGAAACAAAAGACAATATTGTAACACAATTTAATTTCATAACTTTGTTGGTCTAGTTCTCCTTTCTGCTGCATGGTTTCTTCAATACAATAATATGGATGATTGATTTTTCACACAATATGTTGTTGACTATTGCCATTTTTATAACCATTATTGTAAGTATTCAGTTTTATCCCCTTTCTATCTTCACTGGTTAATTCGAGTACGAATTTTAACCGTGTTAGTAACTAAATTGAACTATTGTCAACTATGCTGCGTCATATTTACTAATATATATTTGGCATTGCATGCGATTTGGCATGGTTATATGCATGTGTAACATTACATATTGTTCGTTCAACAAAGAGACGCGTAAACGCAAGTAACATTGAAATATAAGACTTAACACGAACTTATAGAAATAGGGAGCCAACATACAAAAGAGTCAAAATTTCATCTAGAGCGGGGCATTTTATCCTTAAAACCGACTAACTAGCCAAAACCGAGCCGATTCAAATCAATTTTAAGGTCGGTTTAATTTCAAGTAGGAATTTCATCAAAATTGAAATGTCAATTTGATGGTTGTGTTATCAGAAACCGACATGTGCCCACCTCTACATGTTCATCTTTAAAAAAATAAAATAGAGGATCTTATCAATACATGCAAAATAGTTGATACTTCTATTTAAATGCATAACGAATTTTAATTCTTTTGCAACTACATTTATCTAGTATCTATATGCTTACGCAAAACTTGGTCTATCATAAACATTGGACTGCTAAGTAGTAGAAAGAGGTCCAATCTTGATATGAAAACATCAGCAGTTTCGGTTTACAACTTCAGCTAAGATAGTTCAACTATGTTGTCTGCCAATTTCATAAAAGATGAAGTGGATCTGACTTACAGTACTGACTAGAACTCGATCATATAGTACATTGGATAAGATTTTAACTTTTTTTTCTTCATCAGTACTGCCAAATGCTATCTAATTCCGGAACCAAACATTCCACAGGAGAACTCAGCCTGTTTCAAATCCAAGAAACAACGGAAATGAAATAGGAGCGTAGTTACATTTTTTTTAATTTTTATACACCAATATTTCCACGCGAGTTAACTTGTACCACGTGCAAATCTGGGTTTCTGAAATCCGATTCACCCGATATGAAAGACAGTTGTCAAATCCATGTTCAGCATTTGCCTCTTTCTTTCTGGTGAAGATCCTACAGGAATCTCATAGGAGGTAAGGCAGCTTTCAGTTGAATGAACAGCATGTTGAGTACGAACTTCAGGAGACACATGTTCAGGGCACTGGATTCCCAATTCGTTGATAGATGACGATTTGCACGATCTAATTGGATTACGGGAAGCGCTAGGGGTTGACTCTGTTCCTTTCTCTTGATAACCCTCTCCATCGTCATTTACAACTGCAGATCCAATAATTTGATCGACCAGCATCTTGCAGGCTTGCTCCAGCATAGCCATATACCTTCTCTCAGCATCTTGACGAATTTGCAAATGTTTTTCAGCCTGTATAAACCATGGTAAAGATAGATTCAGTCTACTGGAGCAAAGGTTTGCAGCTAGTTTGGAGAATATCTTGGTGTAATATTTTGGACTAACCCTCAATCCCAATTACAATAGCAATATTATGCAAAACGAAAAATCACAAACATGCACAAAATACATAGATTAAAGTGGTTCACTCTCAATGTGAGAGTAACGTCCCCTAGCAGCTGCAGGATTTCACCATTACAAATAACCCTTTATACATGTAGGAAATTTAGGACAACATAAATTGCGTTTAGAACGCCTAATATATACCAGACCCCAAATACACCTATAAAAAGTTTGAGGTAGAGGAGATTCGTACATCATTAGGCTCTACTCAGTCGAATATGAACTAGAGTCCAGTATTTCAAAATCACTTGAAAGGTCGACTTTCTTGAAATATTGAAAGTTGAATGGGGGGGGTGGGGGGGGGTACGAGTTACCATAATTATTTGTACATGTAACTGCATGAATTCTTGACCAGAACATGAGCAAGATTTAATAACAAGAGAAGAATATATATAGTGTAAGATGTGGAAGTGTGAGTAATGGCCACGAGGTCGAAGAAACACGTGCACAGTTTTCATTAATAAATAGGTAGCGGCGAGAGTTGGGATATATCACACGTTCCTTCTCAGAAACACATGCAAAGTTTTCATCAATGGCCCACTCTGGGTGTATTTTGACACATATGAAGGAATCGAGGTCGGAGTTCTTGAATATTTAGTACTTTGATATAATGTTAAACTATCTTATTTAAGATTTAAAACTTTTTTAAATCTGATCTTCTGATATCTAAGAAAACGCCAGAAACAAAAGACAATATTGTAACACAATTTAATTTCATAACTTTGTTGGTCTAGTTCTCCTTTCTGCTGCATGGTTTCTTCAATACAATAATATGGATGATTGATTTTTCACACAATATGTTGTTGACTATTGCCATTTTTATAACCATTATTGTAAGTATTCAGTTTTATCCCCTTTCTATCTTCACTGGTTAATTCGAGTACGAATTTTAACCGTGTTAGTAACTAAATTGAACTATTGTCAACTATGCTGCGTCATATTTACTAATATATATTTGGCATTGCATGCGATTTGGTATGGTTATATGCATGTGTAACATTACATATTGTTCGTTCAACAAAGAGACGCGTAAACGCAAGTAACATTGAAATATAAGACTTAACACGAACTTATAGAAATAGGGAGCCAACATACAAAAGAGTCAAAATTTCATCTAGAGCGGGGCATTTTATCCTTAAAACCGACTAACTAGCCAAAACCGAGCCGATTCAAATCAATTTTAAGGTCGGTTTAATTTCAAGTAGGAATTTCATCAAAATTGAAATGTCAATTTGATGGTTGTGTTATCAGAAACCGACATGTGCCCACCTCTACATGTTCATCTTTAAAAAAATAAAATAGAGGATCATATCAATACATGCAAAATAGTTGATACTTCTATTTAAATGCATAACGAATTTTAATTCTTTTGCAACTACATTTATCTAGTATCTATATGCTTATGCAAAACTTGGTCTATCATAAACATTGGACTGCTTAGTAATAGAAAGAGGTCCAATCTTGATATGAAAACATCAGCAGTTTCGGTTTACAACTTCAGCTAAGATAGTTCAACTATGTTGTCTGCCAATTTCATAAAAGACGAAGTGGATCTGACTTACAGTACTGACTAGAACTCGATCATATAGTACATTGGATAAGATTTTAACTTTTTTTTCTTCATCAGTACTGCCAAATGCTATCTAATTCCGGAACCAAACATTCCACAGGAGAACTCAGCCTGTTTCAAATCCAAGAAACAACGGAAATGAAATAGGAGCGTAGTTACATTTTTTTTAATTTTTATACACCAATATTTCCACGCGAGTTAACTTGTACCACGTGCAAATCTGGGTTTCTGAAATCCGATTCACCCGATATGAAAGACAGTTGTCAAATCCATGTTCAGCATTTGCCTCTTTCTTTCTGGTGAAGATCCTACAGGAATCTCATAGGAGGTAAGGCAGCTTTCAGTTGAATGAACAGCATGTTGAGTACGAACTTCAGGAGACACATGTTCAGGGCACTGGATTCCCAATTCGTTGATAGATGACGATTTGCACGATCTAATTGGATTACGGGAAGCGCTAGGGGTTGACTCTGTTCCTTTCTCTTGATAACCCTCTCCATCGTCATTTATGACTGCAGATCCAATAATTTGATCGACCAGCATCTTGCAGGCTTGCTCCAGCATAGCCATATACCTTCTCTCAGCATCTTGACGAATTTGCAAATGTTTTTCAGCCTGTATAAACCATGGTAAAGATAGATTCAGTCTACTGGAGCAAAGGTTTGCAGCTAGTTTGGAGAATATCTTGGTGTAATATTTTGGACTAACCCTCAATCCCAATTACAATAGCAATATTATGCAAAACGAAAAATCACAAACATGCACAAAATACATAGATTAAAGTGGTTCACTCTCAATGTGAGAGTAACGTCCCCTAGCAGCTGCAGGATTTCACCATTACAAATAACCCTTTATACATGTAGGAAATTTAGGACAACATAAATTGCGTTTAGAACGCCTAATATATACCAGACCCCAAATACACCTATAAAAAGTTTGAGGTAGAGGAGATTCGTACATCATTAGGCTCTACTCAGTCGAATATGAACTAGAGTCCAGTATTTCAAAATCACTTGAAAGGTCGACTTTCTTGAAATATTGAAAGTTGAATGGGGGGGGTGGGGGGGGGGGGGGGCTTACTTCAACTTGCAAGTGCAGTTTGCTTTGAACTTCCATTTGTGCTCTTAATGCCTCCTCGACTTCAAAGCCCCTGGATATATGATCCAAACATTAAAAATAATATTAAGTTTCAATTGTAGCAACTAACTGAAGCGTATGCATGTGTTATAGACTTCTTAAACAAGAATAAAAATTCTTACTCGGTGATGTCAGAATCTGGCAAGTTTTTAGGACTGCTTGAGTGAGGGGCATCCAGAAGATATGAAGCGGAAAGACCTTCCATTTGGCAGGTAAAAGGTCAGTCAAAAATTATGGATATAGAAATGCAAGAACTGCTCCTAGTAACTTCCTAAGCAAAACCTCTCTTGATATAATAATCAAATTCTCTCCATTTGAGGTTGGGGAGAGCGGGGGATTGACCTAACACGATTAGTTCTCTGGATTTTTTCTCTTCACATATTTTTCCCTTTTTCTTTCAGGGAAAGAACATTACGAGGCTGTTATGCAATATAATCACCAAAATATGTCTTGTCAAATTAACACATTATGCTCTAAATAATTAGGAGGGATTCAAAGCAGCAAATAAGAAGTTACACAAAGAGACAGCTATGGAAAAAACTAGACTTACAATCTTTTGAAGCCTCGCCAAGATCTTTCCCCTGTTGCTTACCCATTCTGTATTTCTGTACCAAGATATGATATTACGCTGAAGTACAAGAGATTATTTTTAAAATAAAAGGAAAGCAAACCTGGAGGTGACTCTTCAAATGAAATAGAGTCAGTCCCTTAACACCCATTGTCCGCAGTAAAGCCTTTGGGGTAGCTTCTGCAAATTTAGACGTGTTCATACATGTCAAATAATTATAATTCTTATTCAGAACACATTTATTATATCAAGTTTCCACTCTGCGATCTCAACAAATCAAGTTTGTCTTAGAAAAATGATTTAGTGATTAATGTCAACTCAAAGCACATTCATCAGTGTCATACATGAAAAGTCGTGCTTCAGGAGCACAACCACAAACAATGCAAACTGTTTGATGGATTTATAATAGGAAGAACTACTAATTGAAAATATCATTAAGGTGATAGCTTACTTAAGCATCCTAAATGACAAATGGCTTATGACCAAATCTAGTTGAGTCGGATATCACTTGTTAAACCATATTTACCGATATAGATATCTGACATGTCAGGGGCGAGAATCCCTCATCGCCAAGTTGAATGTAGCGGAAAGTGTAGCACCCTTTTAATTTTGCTGTGGTTTTTGTGTGGACACGTGGTGTGATGATTCAGGAGATAGGGGTGGGAAGTGGGTACAGCCAGAAAAATACTTATAATCTTTGATGCCTGCCCAGTTGCATATACTAGGACTTACCAAATTTCACGACTAACCGGGCTTTTATGTGTACTAACCGGGCTTTTAAGAACCATTCAACTGTTCATGTGTACTTGATTAGGAAAAGCAAACTTAAATTTCTTAATCCGGTTGTCCTAACATTTGCAAGACAAATACATAAGAGTATTTCAATATTTCAGGCACCCAAAACTAATAATAATACACGAAGAAAAAGATAGAACATGTTTAAAATAGAAGGGAACAATAAAGAAAAACATCCATAAATGCATTTGAGAAGTTTTGAAATAGGTCGACGGAGCAAGGATAGACAAGATTTTGACTTCTTTTTCTTATTTCATTAGGTCATAACTTTTAGCCCTCCATTTGAACCACATTATTGTAAAAATGAGAATAAAAAATATAGGTATCATGGACCTCACACAAGATATAAAAAATCAAATATGGTGACTTGATGTGACGGATAATGGTCATATTTTTCATTTTAACGGCTCAAACAGGGCCTTAAATTGTGAAGCCTAATTATTGCCGATGCTAATTATTTATCTAATTTATCTTATAAGTAGGAGGCCGCCCTTAGTCTTTATAACTATCATCAAAAAGAGAGAAAGGCAGATTAAAGGAGATAGGTGTGTGATTTTCTATTGTAAAACCTTTTTTATCATAGTGAGTTACTATAGAGGCAGGAGACGTAGTTTCCGATGAGGCGAAAATCTATAAATCTTACATGTTCTTGAGGCTCCACCCCCCCCCCCCCCCCNCGTTCATGGAGGTCGGCCGTCCACCGGAGTCGGGGTTTTTGGTCTGAGGTGAGTACCAAACATGGGTCTCCGCCACCCATTTGGCCATAACCATCGCTGTTTGTCTCCTGAATATTTTCTTGAATCAATCTTGAAAACATGGAGATGGCGTCTTCAATGAATGCAAGAAGACAACTTTTTGTACAGAGATCTCAGCCTCTTTTTCAACTGCTTAGTAATTTTAAATGAGCAATCAAGAGACCACCTTTATCATTGAAAATTTGTTTATTTGCTGCAGAAAGTAGAGAGAAAGGATGGACTACTGGAAAAGACTGCAATGCGACTTCCCCGTCAGTTGTTTTGTTTCTGATACTGTTCTCTCCTGTCCTTTCCACTAAGATTCGAAATAAACTCGTCACGGATCATTAGCGAGTTTATTTGTCTCTATGTTCAACTGCAGGTAATTGGAGAAAACCGCACAGAGGTGGGACTTGGCTATGTTAATTGTTAAAGTAATGTTTTATGCATAGAGTAAATTAAGAATAATTATATTCTAGCCATACTTTACTTTCATCTTTTTATTACATTTGATGTTCTTAATCTTTGTGTAATGTAGCACTTATGTGTCTCTTATATTTAATTTTTCATTAAATAGCACATCTAATAATAGTTTACATCCCAAAAGGATCGAGACGGTATAAAACAATTTCTTCGTTAATATATGAAAAAGTGTGACGAATATTATTTCCCAATTTCAAAACATTGAAAGTGAAATTTTTGACAAAAATTATCATTAATGACGAGATGTGCTAATTAATTGAACGTCGATATAAAAATTCGATGAAAAATATTAAGAAATTTAGTGCTACAATTAGCAGCGGTTGAATTTTTGAGTGTATGTGCGCATACAATCATGCTGTGAGTCCGTGATGCAAATTTGACAACAACATGCTTATGTGGAGGAAAATTAGAAGTGGCCTCCAACTGGTGTGGTGTGGTGTGGTGTGGTGTGGTTATAGATTTTTAAATTTCAAAAGTGAGGATTAAAAAGATCCTCATTTATAGCAATGTTTACTTATTATTTTTTAATTACGATTAAAATTGTAAAACATAAAATACAATTAAAAAATCAAAGCCGGTTCAAGATCGAGGTTTCCAACCTCATTTAGGAAATCTCCAATGGTTGCACCATTGCACCATTTTTTGGTACAAACACCAAACTTTGCACCTATTCATTTTGCACCATTTTTTTGTGCAAAGTGTAAAATGTCTCTTTTGCCCTTATTTAACATTTTTCAAATAAATTTGTTAAAGATATTTATGTTATTTGTGCTATATATTTTTTAATACAATAAATTATTATTATTTATATTTAAAATAAATTTTAAATATAAGACATAATTATTAATAAATTAGTTAAAAGACGAAAACAATTTAAAATACAATAAACACGATTATTTATTAAAGTTAACACGAAATATATTAAACAATGACATACATAATCTAATTTTATTTTTAAAAAAGGGATACGTAAAAAACTCACATTGCACCTCGAAATACATTAATTGATCATTTGTGGGATGAACATATGACTTCCGAGAATTAAATTGCAAAAATTTGCGACTTTGTAATATCGTCTATCCAAATTCGAAATGCATTGTACTATTTTCTGATGGCATGATTTCATATTTTTGTTGTTGTAGTATTTTTATTAATTGTTCTATGTTTTTTTTATATTTATTAATGAATTTAATCTTTTTTGTAATTTAACTTAATAATTTATTTAGTAATTTATGTTTTTATAAAATAATTAAATAAATAATATTTCAAATAAATAAATTAGTAAAAGATTGAATTATGCCCCAGTTTAACCCCCATTATTTCAATTTATAATTTTTGGAATAGTAATTTTTTGAAAAATGTATGGTTGAAAAAGAAGGAAAATTTTCAATTTAAGTGTAATATTATTTCATAGAAGATTATGTGGATTATGTGGTTAAAAATAAAGTAAATTATAATTTGAAATAATTGAGGCCAAACAAGGACTTAATTAGCCATCTCTCATAGGAATTATAAAGTTGAACTCAACTTTCATGTTGGATGAAAAAAATGCCAAAGAAAAATTCACATGTTTAAGTATGTTCAATACGTTGAACCTTTTGAACGTTAAGGAGCTCAACTTTCATTTTCTTATCAATGTAATTCAATTTCAAACATCATATTAGTATTTTTTTTTCTCCCATTATCTTCTTTAATTTTTGGCTAAAAATAAAAGTAAATAAGTAGGTTTTAAAATAAATTTCTTACATATAAAAGATATAAATAATTAAACCAGTTATTATGATAGCAAAACAAAAATTACTTTTCAAATAAATATATTTTTTTTAATTTAAGAGTGAAAAAATGTTTTTCACTTTTTTTTTTTCAATTTTTTGGATTTGGAATTTCACATCAATATTTAAAACAATGACATTTCAAAAATTCACCAAGTAGTGAATTTTTAGAGTATGTATAATTAAAAAGTATAAAAAGTTTTGAGTTTACGTATATAATATTTTATTGTGTAAATATTTGATTGAAAATATTTGTAAAAAGATTAAAATAAACAACTTTGAAAGAATGAGAGACAAACAGGAACTTAACGTCGACCAGATTCTATAGCATTGCTCAAGTGCCAAGGTATTGATTTCTCAAAGAACAAGCAACCGGGAATATGTTCCTTCCACTTTGCCGAGTTGTTTACGGCATCTGGACTTTCAATGGCCCCGGCATGGTTTAACTTTTCGTAGCACGTATCATTTTTGGATTCTTAGTAAAAGTTTTGTCCCTACAAAATTTGCCGATGATCTATCGGATTTCATGAAATTAGTACAGACCTATTTTGGTATAAAGTTGTTCGACATGAAGCAGATAATGAGATCTCATCGGGTTCACGGCGGCCTTGAGCGAGTTTGGACGAACAAAGACAACAAATACATGGCTTCCGACACTTCTAACAAATTTATTATACCGGACCAGTGATTTACAATGTGAGTGACTCGAAAATGAGTTCAAAAAAGTTAACACGGAGCAAAACTACGCATAAAATATAAAGAATCATGTAACAACTAGCAGCATTGCGTGATAATCGAGAGTGCACGGACCTGTGAACTAAACGGGGGCTGTCATCCGGAAAGACGTCCCCGGAGGAGAAATTGTAGGTCATTTATGGATTGATGTTGCACTCTCGCAAATATAGGTGATTGTAATCGACATATTTTGCCCAGTAGTTCCGAAATTTTGATATGCTGATCTCCAGCCATGGTTTCAAGTTGCCATTGTAATGTATGACTGCTGCCCGCTCGATTTCCTTTTGAGGCACATTTGGGTTATAGCCAAGCCCCAAGACGTGCCACGATTTATCAAGAGTGAAAGTGTGATTCCAAAAGGTTATCAAACCAGGTGGCAGAGTTCCCAATTTCCATAGAAGTCTGTCGTGATTCTGACGACAAAAAATCGACAAAATTAGTGCTCCGAAACAAAAAAACGCCGTAGTAGTACACGAAACAAATATATTTCTCTTACCAGATTTTGCCATCTGTGGTACACGTCTGTAATATTCTGCTTCCTCCATTCCTTCAAATCAAAGATATTCATACCAAATGCCCAACCACAAGCATGAGGTTCAAAAATTTTCGAAATAAGAGGGTTTGAAAAGTTAAGGTAACGATCAAAGCGGTGAAAGCTATCTCTACACGTCTCAATCACGCCAATCACCTTCCCCTTTAGATCAAGTGACCAAAGAGCCGTGAGATCCTTTTGGACCACTATATCATCGTCTAAGAACAATACCTTGTTGAGCTTCGGGAAGATCTCTGGGAGGTAAAAGCGCAGATGATTCATGATAGAGAGGTACTTGGGATTTCTGAATTTCAAGTTCGGATCGGATTCAACACGGTGAGTCTTGAAGTAATAATCAATCATGGACGAAGAACCCAACTGTTTAAGAACCGGACTGTAACTCGAATTCAACCATGTAAATTCCTCAACATTCTGAACCTGTATTGTAGCTTTGCCTGGTGGATTTGCCAAGAACCACATCTTCATTGCAGCGTAGTTGAGCCTGTCAGTGACGATGTGGAACACGTGGTTTGAAGGATCCTGCTCCGGATCACACAAGAATTTAACATCAAATTTTGGAAACATTAAACTTGAAGTGAAACAAAATCAACACAAGATCTATATGTTTCTTCAACCTTCAAATGAGTCAACTGAAAACCTAGAAGTGAAATTTTTCACCATAAATTTGTCCTTTTACCTTTGCATGAGTTATAGTAGAGTTTACGACAACTGCTGCAGCCAATATATTATCCGAAAATAGTGCATAATGGTATAGCTTGGGATCTATTAATTTTTCTTCATTCGGAAAATGCCGTCGAGAAGAATTTAACATGAAAAACTCAGTTGATAGGCGCAAAGGAAGACAGTGAAGTCCTTTAGGAACTGTTTTGGCAGTTAAATGCGTCAAAAACAAGGTCTGCTTCTTGTGAGCTTGGAGTTGCTCTTCGGACGAATGAAGCATTGCACGTAGCTTCTTCACCACAGCAGCACAATCATCTTGTATTTGCTTCCCTTTCGCCAAAGTTCGCTCCATTGCTTTTAACTTCTCGTTGGCACTGTAATTAGAGCACGACAAGTGTTAATTTACAATAACAAAAGAAAGAAGACGCGGTTTAAATCATTTCATGAAACCCCAAAGAAATGAAAGGAAAAGAATGATAAAACCTCCAAGCCATTTCATCAAAAGCTCGAGTCCAAATTTTGAAAAGCAATGATATCCAACAATAAGACTTACTTTTTTGGAAGCTCGGAATCCTTGGTTGCATCCCCAATTGCTCGTAGGACTTCCTTCATACGCAAACGGAGCTCTCTTATAAAATGGGGATTGTTTCGAGTCGAAGAGAGGGAAAGATAAACCTTGGATCTAATGAGCTGATCCTTAAGATGACGAACACGTGCATCCAGCAAAATGGTTCGTTCATTCTCTTTTTCAGTTGTAGTCTTCCCTTGTTCTCTTCTACTATTTTTGGTTGACCTTCGGGAAGAATGTTGCACGTGTTTTGTTTCCTAACAAGAACCCCATAAAAGAAAGAGAAAAACTGTAACTTCACATGCTAGCTAAAGTCAAATACACATCCAAATAAAAACAAACTACGAGCGGAAATCTAAGAAGCCAACCTACAAAAGCAAGGCTATAAAAAAAACCTACTATTATATACCAACCGCGGTTTCAATTATTTGATCATTGCAAAATACAGACGTAAGAATTAACAAACCCACTTCAAATAATCAATGAAGACGACCCCAAATTTACAGGGTTTAGTTGTGGTTCCTCGAGAGTTTTCAATACCAGAGTTTATAATGGTATAACTAAATAATGGGTTATAACTAAGCCTCAAGTAACTGCCCCCTCTTTCCTCATCCTTTTTTCTCCCTTTCTACACAAAACAAAAGTGAAAGTTTAAACCTTAAGAAGAAACTAAATGTATATCCCAAATCTTAAAATGAAGTACATATGAATTTGGAACAATAGGCATTAAAATGACAGCAGAGCTAATCAAAGAAAAAAAATAACTATATATAATTAAACCTTTCCTCCAGAGGAATTGACCAATATGTGCTCGGGATTTTGAGAATTATTTTCTTTCTCGGGATCAATTTTTGCTTCATCGCTTCCCTTTCCCCCAGCTAATTCAATATTCTTTGAACTTTCCCCATCAGTCCGAGCTTCGTGCACAGTATCAGTCACCAGCAGTCTAATCGGATTCCTGTCCACATCCTGCTTGTTGCCATCACTAGTGCTCAACGATTCTAGCAAATGCAGACAACACCGTTAGATGGCATTTTAAAAGTTGAACGAAATATGACACAAAAATAGACTTAATTCAATTCCAAGACAATGATTTAAATGAGAACCTTCAGTGAGTTGTCTTGTGATTCGCGAATTCTCCCGGATCGAATCATCAGAATAATTTAAAACAGATTGAATTGAATTATCAGAATAAACAGCCCCCAATGGTTCTTTCAGTATTGCAGAAGACTCCTATGAAAATGCACAGAAATTACAACGAATCAGAAGAGTAAAGATCTGAAATTTCCATTAAACCAAAAATTCCCAGAATATAAAAAGAAAAGGAAAATCAAGAATCCAAACCTGAGGTAGAATATTTAAAGGCCTGATTTCACCACCAAATGTCTGCAATAGAAATTCCAATAATTCAAGAACATAAGAAAAATTAAATCTTTGCCCATCAAAACAAGGGGAAAAACAATCAAAACTTACAAAGGATGAAACTTCTTCAAGAAATTCATTCCTAGCTGCAAGAAAAACAGAAGCCAAACGGATCTCTTAACATAATTCAGAGGGGAAAAAACACAGAAAATTGAGAAGAAAAAGAAGATGATAAGGGAATTTACAAGAAGGTGAAGTGTAATAGGTTCCAAGATTATTAGTGTAAAGAACAATAGGAGCAAGAACCGCAGTCATCAGCAAGAAAAGAACTGATTTTCGGAGCTTCATCTTCATCTTTCAATCTTCAAGATCGAAAATTAAACACAACACATCTACAACATGAAATTGAAGACACCCAGAAAAAAATTGAAACAAATCGATCAAAATCAAGCCTTAATCCAAGATTCAAGTCTGGAGATGTAAACTAAATTAAATAGAACCCAGTAAATTGTGTGAACGATACGAGGTCTTAAAATGGAGTGTATATCTGTAAGAAGAATCTGTCCAATATTTGTACCAAAATAAGCACCTTAGAAAAAGTGGGCAAAATTTTCAGTACTTTAGGTCCAAGAAATCTTGTAAAAGGAATAATCAAGCAGAGAAATAGCAAAAATCTGATTAAAAGGTTTGAGATAGAGAAAAGTGGTTACACGCTTTTGCTGTTACTATGCGTGTTTTCATCTCTGTAAACTTGTAATCAAAAGTTGGGAAAAATTATTAAGATTAATCAAACGAAAATTTATACACTACGATTGTACGAGTGTTCGCAAAAATTACTCGTGATAATAAGGGCCGGTAAACGCGGAAATAATGGGGGCTACAGGGCACGGGTTCTTTGGCCTTTTCTTGGCCTTCTTTTGACTTTCATCTTCATTTATAGATTTACTTTAGCATATAATTTGGCTAAATAAAGATTACTTTTGGCTAAGTATAAGAAATTCTTAAATAATTACTTTTAAACCATGAGCTTATAAGATTAGAACGTGTTTAAATATATAAGATTGATAGGATTCTAAGTTTAGAACATTTTATTATTGTTGATGTCGACTCAACCTCCTCTTAATTGTTGGGTTTTACTTTATTTCATCTACCTAAGAGGAAATAACACGACCAATATACTTCCCAAGCCGGATATTTAATGCGTTAGCTTCAGTACTGTACTAGTCAATACGCATAGCGCCTAGTATCTTGACCAATACGCATAGCTTACATTCATTGTAGCAGGATATGGTATAAAAGACAAAGTAAAAAAGAATCGAGAATTGAAAGCTAAACAAGAGGAATAAAAGTGTTTATATTCTCCCATTCGATCGAGTCGAGAGAATTATAACCAAATACTGTTTAACAAAATTTTCTAAGCATATTCAAGTATTTTCAAACACAATTTGTCTGATGATAACTTCTTTGGATTTGTGTCAAACTACCCTATCGATAAAGTTCACTCACATACCAATGAACCCTTCCAATGATTTAATATTATTTTCTTCTGAAAGTTATAGCAACAAAACACATTTAGCCCTTATTTGATGGTCATTATTTTGAAAAATTGATATCTTGAATAATGATTTTTTGAAGAATGTGAGATGAAAAAACAGGAAAATATTTTGGGTATACGTGTAGAATATGTTATTATGTGAATGTATAGTTAAAAATGAGTGTAATAATTAAATAGTTGTTTTAAAGGAAGACAAAAAGTGGCTTTTCACTTGTCTTATTTTTACATTAATTGAATAACATGATTTCTTCTGAATTTTTATATTTTACAGTGATGGCATGTGCTAATCGATAATTTACAAGTTCGTTAGACTTTCAAGAACCAAAAAAGGGGAAAGATCAAACGTCTTTAACTTGGTTGCGATGACTTTTATTTTGTGAAAGTATGCAAGTTTTCAAAATTTCGAGCATTGTCAAAATATTGAGTCTTAAGCAACTTTCTAAGTAACCTTACATTCGAGCCGGCTCTCACACGCCTCAAACAAAGAACTAATGCAAAGAGATTGAAAATCGATCTGCACAAAGAAAAATTCTAACTATGATGACACTCAATCATTGAGACTTAAATTCAAAGCCTCAATAAACTAAATCAATACAAAAAAAAAAAAAAAAGCAAAATGAATACATTCATTCTTGTAATTAGAATATAATGCAATTCAAAGATGAATCTCTAAAATTTGTTCAACCCAACATCAAGAGGCTGATCAATCACAGAGCTCCAAATGCAATCCGCTGGATCGAGATCATCAACTTTGAATTGCCATAAGTCGTCATCAAACTTGTTGTCATCAACACATTTTTGATCTGACAAATTCTGAACACAAAATTGATCAAAATCTGGTGTTGAAGTGGTGGGAAATTCTTCAAGATATGAACAAGAAGGTGCAAATGCATCTTCCAATTCAAAATTTTCATCCCCTTTAAAGTTTTTCACACTCTCTTTGAGCCAAGGGAAATCAAAAACTCCAATCTCATCAAAAAATTCATAACCCTTCTCTTTTTTAACATAATCAAACTCTTCATATTCTGGTTTCTTCTCTTGATTTGTTTCATTCTTCTTCTTCTCCTCCTCCTCCTCTAACTCTTTTCTTGTTTCCCCTTTCCATTGCTGAACAAGCTCAAATGAACAATCGGACCCAAAATAAATTA